CTGAAGGCAGCACTCAGGGTTTCCCTCTGAACTGACCTGAGATCAGCTCAGATAGCACACACCTCGCTGCAGGTGACATCATGAAAGCCCTCTGTACGGCCGCTGTGATTGGCCGACAGGTGAGCGGCGCTCAGGTAAACAATCATTCAGGTTCTTCACACATGAAACCAGATGAAGAGATGTCAGCGGTTTCTGGCTGTTTCGGCCTCATGAAACTCTGACTCAACGCCAAAGCTGCTACTCAGAACTAAAATCTGTCACTATTTGGATTCTTTTTGTTAAATATAGTAAAATAAATCAGTTTCTCCTGATAAAATGACAAAGTTAGATTCTTTTTGTAAAGCAGAAGTTAACTGGGATCTTTTTTTAAACTGTTTATCATTCAGATTATTTACTAAACAGAAAATAAACCCTAATAAGCAGGACGCTCATAACAATAACATTTCCTTCTGGAGCTCAGATAATCTATAAGAGCAATAAAATCAGGTCAAAATAAAACCTGACTTTAATCAGGAACATCAACAGCAGATAACAGGAGAGAAATCAGAATTAGAGCGAGATAAACACAGAATCCAAACAGTGGAAAAATCTTAAAATCATAAAGACAACGCCAGGAATTAAATAAGAATCGCTCAAGGATAAAAACCAGGGGATCAAAATACACAAGGCTGACATAATGCAGCAGGAAACTGGAATAAATAAGAGAACTGGGCAAAAATCACAGTAAAATCAGGATAAAACTGAGACTAAAGACAGAATAAAGGGCAGATTAAAACCAGGATAAAATAGAAACACATTGGAAATAAGATTGGATTTAAAAAAAACGGACATAAATCTAGATTAAAGCCAAAAGAAAGAAAAAACAGGAAGGAAGGACGTTAAAAGGAATAAAAATCTGTGGAAAAATTTTTCTTTTTCTTGCATCAGGGTCACATATTTGTAGAAAAGTAAAACTAGAGCAGAAATGATGAAAGAGCAGATCTAGATCATCCCATCATCAGATGAACAGGAGTACAGATTAAAGCAGGAGGGATGGATTAGGCCGAACTTAGTCCAGAATCAGAACCCAGAATAAAGGAGGATCGGTTCTGTTCCCCACTGGTTCGGTTCTCCCTATTCCTGGTTCTACTGGTAGAACTGGGAAACTTTAACTTAAGCAACAAACCAGAACCAGTCAGATTAAATCAGGTTCGGTTCTGACCGGGATTAGCGGCTCCATAACTAAATAAATCCTGGCCGGTACCGGTTAAGCTCGGCGGGTAGCAGCAGCAGGTTCCTGCACCGGACACCAAACTACTTCAGCGGGGTTTCAACCAGCGGAGCGACCGCAGGAGAGAGCCGGGAGCCGGCCACCGAGGCTGGCCGAGCACCGGGCGCTAAAGGCTGGGTAAGGAGCAGCAGAGAGGACGGGACTCACCGAGGAGGTCCATCAGAACCGAGGTCCGGACATGTCCCGGGCCGGAGCCACATTCATTCAGCCCGACACACTCAAACAACTCAGAGGAACACGGACTTCCGCCCAGGCCTTCAGAATAAGAGCCTAATGCGCTAAAGACATTATAAGCATCCGGCGCGGTGAGCCTTCACAATAAGAGCCTGGCAAACTCGACCTTCATAATAAGAGCCAGGCAGACTTTTCAGATTTATTTATTCATTTAATTTATATTGATAGAAAGTTATTTAAAATCCCTGGTCAGGATTCTTAAGGTTTAAATCACATTTAGTTGGTTTGATGATTTTTATTATATTATTTAACGAATTTACAGTCGGCTTCATCATTAGTACCTAATCTATGAAGGTCGGATCAGTTCTGCTGCAGCTTCTACAGTTAAAACTCTTTTAAATCTCTGAGATTATTTCAACAATGAAACTTTCTGTTTAGCAGGATGAGACAATAAGATTTCTAGACTTCGTAAAGCAGTTCTGCTGTGAAACCGGTTCTGACTCTTTGTGTTGCAGAGGTTTTTCCTTCATGGTGGAGATTTTTCCATGGAGCCAGTTTGACCTTCAGGACTCCTGGAACATCTAGAAAGAACAGCTGAGGTTGCTATGGTTGCCTGGGGAACCCTGGGAGCCATCACTGTTTCCTCCTCAGGTTCTAACGTAAACATCCTGGGTCCCTGAGGAACCAGAACCAGCTAAACCCAGAGCAGAAACATGCAGGCTGGACTGACTGCATGTTAGAATCCTTCCTCTGGGCTGTGGTTACAGAGGTGACGAAGACGAGGAGGAGGAAGGGCCATTGTGGTGGGACACTCAGACGCTGTAATTAGACCGAGAACCAAAATTACACCTGAGCTGCTGCTGGAGCGGAGGAGGAGGAAGGTTTGGACAGCTGGTCCGACTCACAGTCTGATCAGAACTTCTGTTTACATTCAGTCTAAACGCTTTAATCCAGTTTATACCAAACATCCAAACTGTCAAATGTAGTAATTAAACCAGTGAAGCCAGTGAAAAGATTTAATCTGCAAACCATTTAGCCCAGTTCAACCCAGCATCAAAGCACAACCCATTCAGAGCAAAACCAGTAAAACCCAAAAACAGCCCAGTTAGTAGAACCAGCAGGAATCAGATCATCAGATCAGGAAACCAGTGACGCCTACGTCCAGCTGGCATGTTAAAACCAGTATTAAACCAGTTTAAACACAACAATGGACCTGAAGTTCATCCAGCAGGAACATCTTCCATGAATCCAAGTCTGAAGCTGTAGTGAAACCACAGAGCCTCCCAGTAAAACCACAGGTCCCACCAGCTTTAATCCCAGCACACCCAGTATAACACACTGTTCAAGCAGTTTAAACCCTGGTTAAATGTAAACACAGGGTGAAACCCCCACATACACCAGTATAAACCCAGTATAACAACACCGGCCCAAACCAAAACCCAGTGAAACCATTCTAAACAGGTGTAATGAACCAGTTCAGACCCAGTTTAAACTGGTTGTTAGAGGCCTGTTTGCTAATTATAAATACCCCCCCCCCCCCCCCCCCCCCTTCCAGGGGTGGATTAAAGGGGCGGAGTCAAGACTGAAAGCAGTCAATCATTGACCCCATCAGTGAGTCAGACCCCCCATAAGGCTCCCAGTGTTCCCAGTTAAACCAGGTCAGGACCCCTGCAGCTGTGTGTGGGAATCCCCTCAGCCCAGGCGTCCCACAGGCTGGCGGCAGGGTCAGAGGGACGGACACTAGGAGCTTTGTTCTCCACATTCCTCCACACAACCTGAAACACAAAGCTGCTACACTACAGGCTGCCCCTGAACGCACCATCATGGGGGGAAAACCTCCACCGGCTGCCCCTGAACGCACCATCATGGGGGGAAAACCTCCACCAGGACCTGACTCACAGACTGCCCCTGAACGCACCATCATGGAGGGAAAACCTCCACAGGCTGCCCCTGAACGCACCATCATGGAGGGAAAACCTCCACTGGGACCTGACTCACAGACTGCCCCTGAACGCATCGCCACGGAGGGAAAACCTCCAATCAGACCTGAAAGGAACGTCACAATGAGAAAAGCTCTACCTGGACCGGAACCTCAGACTGCCCCTGAACACACCTTCATGGAGGGAAAACCTTCACAGGCTGCCCCTGAACACACCATCATGACTGACCACAGCATGCCCCTGAACACATCGTCATGGAGGTAAAACCTCCGCAGGCTGCACCTGAATGCACCTGAATGACTGACCATAGCATGCCCCTGAACACACCGTCATGGAGGGTAATCTTCCTCCTTGAGCATTTAAAGCCAAACTAAAGCTCGGCGTACACCTTTCGATCGTTGCACACATCTGCTGCAGACTGTATGACTAAACGCAGGGTTTAGTCGTACAGTTATAGCAGCAGCTCATGATTTATGTTCAGCTCGAGGCTCTCATGCGATCTACCTGCTCACACTGTACGTCTAAAAACATCGTCAAACTGCTCTGTAGCTCTCTATCCTGAAGCCAAACAAATAGAACGGGGATATTAAGCTCAAAATTGTGCAATTTTGTGCTGAGGGTCCTAGAAAAAAAGGGCGACAACGTATTTGGAAAAAGGACATGGCTGAGAAGGCGTGGCTGCTGCGGTCCATCAGTTTTGCAGACAGAGCTGCATTTCACTCATTGCCTCCCTGCCAGGCTGCTGTGTTTACATCTGAGAGGAGAAAGGAGCCCTGAGCTTGTCGTGAGAGGCTGATCGGCCTTCATACCCCCTGTACACGACTCACGATTAGGCTGAAAGTCGGCCCGATCAAAAGATTCTCGCACGACTGGAAAGTCGCCCCAAAGATCACACAGTGTAGGCCGGGCTTAACTAAGCTCTAAATACTGTTAATCTAAAGCTGGTGAAGATTTTTCTGCTGATTCTTCAAATAAAACCAGAAAAGATTCATTTATCAGTTTTTCAACAGGAAGGAGTTTATATCACAGAAGTAGAAAGATCAGTACCAGCTTTAAACTGGAGCGGTTCTGGTTCTACATCTGGTACGACTTGAACAGAACCTCTGGTTCAGAACATCCCAGAACTTCTTCCCTGTTTAGGAGCAGCGTTTTGTTTCATGACGACTCACTAAGAAAAGTTGCTGAATAAGGTAGGACCTAAATGCTGCCTCACTGGTTACCATGGTGACAGCAGGGAGGCGTCCAGGAGGCTGTGAGGACTGGAGGTCAGAACCAAACACAGCGTAGTTCTCTCCAGGTCCAGTTCTTCCAGGGTCCCTCTGATTGGACAGAGGGAGCCCCTCCACATGTGGGGGTCAGAATCAGAACCAAGGATTCACCGCTGTTTATCATCAGTACCCAGATGTTCCGTCACCACCATCACTGTGAGGGACCACCGTGGTTCTACAGGACCAGGTGGATCAGAACCTTTAATGGTGGATCAGATTCTGCCAGAAGGTTTCAGAACCTGAAAGCAGCTGGATCTCCTCCTCTGATCCTCTGTTTGGTCACACCCTCAGTAATCCAGTTAAACCACAGCTCCCCGTTACCACGGAAACCCCATCTCTGTGCCTTACCCAGCACGGTGGCGCCCTCCGGCTGGAACTCGGGGAACTGTCCCTCTGAGGGCACGCTGACGGTCCGGCGGAGGCTCCGGGCCCTGGTGGGTTCTGTGGGGGCCTCCTGAGGCTCGCCTGCAGCCTGTCGGGGGAGAATGGGGGGGAGGTTAGAGTGGGTTGGAGGTTGGGAGCAGCAGAAACGTGTCGGGGCGGGGCGGCGGGCTCGGACCTCCTCGTCCTTGTTGAGCAGGATGAGCTGGCTGTCGGTCAGGATGCAGAACTTCCTCTCCCAGGCGGCGCCGTCCGTGTACGGACTCTGACCGCAGGAGAAGCGGTGGGCCGGGGGTCCCTTCACGTCTGAGGAACCAGAACACAGCAGAACGGGTCAGAACAAAAATGAAGGTTAGTAACCAAAATGAAAAAGACTTCTAACAGTTAAAACAGCTGTGGTTCAGCTGGTCATCGGACCTCCTGAACGCATTTATTCCCCCTGGAGCGGACGGAGCAGAAGGTTCTGGAAGCAAGCTGCTGCAAAAAGCAGCAGGTCCAAACCCGTCCGTCCTGCTGTAATGGTTCTGGTCTCCTGACCCAGATCCTCAGCCTGACAATCCTTTGATGCAACATGTGGAGAACGAGTCAGAACCGAGCGGTTCGTCCAGATGATGCAGAGCTGCTGAGTGTCCAGCAGGCGGCGCTGTGGCTCTGCAGGAGGGACAGGCAGCTAGGAGGGGTCAAAGGTCACAGAAACACAGGTCCTGCTACGGTCCTCAGCAGGACCCTGAGGGGAAACACACGATGCTTTTACTGCCCCCAAAATAGTGTGGGATTATTGAGCGTCTGGGTAAACATAACATGACCCACAATCAGCTGCTGCCGCTCAGTTCTGATGGAACAGCACACAGGTATACATGACTGGAGCCCAGGTTCTGACAGACTGAGGACTAACGGGTTCTGAGTCCAGCAGGACGTCAGGGAGCGGACAGCTGCAGTTCTGGCCCGGCCCGCCAGCAGCTGGGAGCTTCTCCTCTTTCAGGTTATTTCTGGCTCAGCAATAATTCATTCAGAACCCTGGAGACCCGCTGAGAGTCACACCTGCTGCAGAGCACGCAGGCTGCAGCAGGCACCAGAACCACTGCCCCGGTTCTGTCTACTGGACTCTGGTTCTGATAACTGGCCAAGTTCCGCTGCTGCAGACAGGACAGGTCTGTGTTCCTGGACCGCAGCAGAATCAAACCGGCCCGGTACCTGCCTACCGGGTCCAAATGTTTCTAGTGGCCCATTAACACCTGCAGGACTGGAGCTGAAGGAGGGAACCGGACCGGGCCGAGCCTCTCTGGGGAATGTGTGAGGGAGGAGTGAGACGTCCAGTGGTCCTCACCCACTCTGGCCCTGCCCACTCCACGGCATGTCTGCCATCCCTCTGAAGCTGCCCGTGTGTTTGTGTTTACATGAAACCGGATCACGCCGCACTGGGATCTGGTTCTGGGTCACCTCCTCCTGATCCAGACTGTGGCTAAGGACGGGACCCGACTCGCCTGCAGGTCAAACTGAGGGAATAAAAACCCTCCAGCTGTCCTGCAGGTTTCAGGTTTCCCTCTGATTTAAATCTGCTGCGCTGAACCAGAACCTGGTACCAGTGAAGCTCCAGGCTGCTGGGTGACCGGTACCAGATTCTGGTTCCGTATCGACCCGCTCCCTCTCCTGCAGGGGACAGCGGAACGTCTGGAGCCTTCAAAGGGTTAACAGCTCCTTCAGGACAGGACAACAGAGGTGGCTTTGTCTGCAGGGCTGCACACATCGCCATGGCAACCTGTAAACAAAGCAGCCCGCGGCCAATCAGAGCACGGCAACATCACATCACCGCTTTATCAAGATGGGACCATTGCACTGGGGAAGGGGGGGGGGTCTTGTTACCAGACTTTTATGGCTCTAAACACGGTTATCTGTTTTTTCCTAGGGGATCCTGAAAGCAGCACAGCCCTCTGCAGACGCAGTTAGTTCAGAACGGAGCGGCCAGAGTCCGTTTCCTGGTTCCTGCTGTCTGCTGTGTGGTCAGAACGTCTCCACTCAACTCCTGGAAGGAAAACCCAACGGCTGACTGGTTCTGGATGGCTGGTTCTGTCTGAACACAGTCTGCTCTGACTGGTTACTTCACTGAAAACACATCCAGAGCTTCATGTGGTGGAATAAAAGCTGGACCTGACTCCTCCCTCTATTCAGTGATGCATTTCATGTTATTAATCTTTAGATTAATGCATTAATTTAAAAAGACTTTGATGATTTCATTAATGGGGCACTTAGTTTTGTTTTTGTTTTTTGGTACATTTTATAGTTTCATTGTATCAAGTCTGAATCATGTTTTAGATAAATAAATAAATAAAAATGTTTTTTATAAGACATTCACATTCAATCCCAGAGGGATCGCATCACAATGACTGTTAAAAATCCTCTCTTGACCCCTGAACCGATTGGGGGGGTGTGGGGGAGGCACTGTGGGAACATCTATGGAGTTAAGTTTCTATACTTTTGTTTAAAAAGCCGACAAAATTGAATGAAATTGAATCAAAATTGAAACAACATTTCATTGGCAACGGAAGAAGCTTCAATAGTTTGAAGGAAGTTAGCCGCCCAACAGAGACATCAGCCGTCCACGTTCTACTGAAAGTGCTAAAGGATATCTGCACTGCTCTATAAAGATGCTGACAGTAGATTTTAAAGGAAAAGTCCGCTCCTATTCAGAATTCAAACTTCTGAAAGTTCTTTAAATATAAAATTATTCCATCCTGTTCAATAAATGATCAGTGTTTTTAATTCAGAGTCATTTCCATGTGAATGTGCTTTACTGGAGGCATCCATGTTTGTCAAAGAACACTACTGCCACCTACT